AGTGTTGTTAGTGTCGAGCGTAAATGTGATGTGTAGACAGTATCAGTGATGGAGCAGAGTTATTCGTTTTATAAGTGGTTACCATGTGGTCTGTATTATTAGGGTAATAAGCGTACATTATAGATATGTGTGTTGCATGAACGTTTCGAGTATAGTATGGATTCGCGCTTTATGAAACAAAATGATCACAAAAAGATATCCAGCTGTCATCCGAGACTGGTGTCTCATAAGAAGTTCCACTCTCGGTCTACACCAAGGTATATTTTTAAGGTATCCGATTTTGTTATTCCAAAAGGACTATTCTCAGAGTATCCCATCAGGACAATTGCCACAGACTTCTGCATAGACATTGAGATCAGAGAACACTTAATGCGGTTCTGTACAACTTGCATACAATTGTAAGTAACTTTTGATGGCATGAGTGTCGATAAGTGTAGTGGTTTGTTGCAGTATAAAGAAGGTCAGTGAGAGTTGTAAGCTGTTTTAAGTTTTTATAGCTGTGTATGTAATATAAACAGTCAATGTAGTGTACGTGTGTGTGCCTACTGTAGTAGCATGTCTTCATAGTATGAGTTATTAGTACAAAATTAGTTGAAAGTTATTCTAACTGGTATAACGTAAGCTAGACGTGAATACTAGTAGTCTTATGAAGTTTATCTAAAGAATAAACAAACTATTGCAACTAGATAATCTAGAAAATTTAAATAGAATTACACCAATATAGCAACAATAACTTGTATATATATTTTACAATTAATAATCTGTAGACAAAAACATACAAAAGGAATGAATTTCAGAAATGGGTATATTTGTTGTGAATATTTTTCATCTGGAATAAGAGAGTTATGCACTGATGTTACAGACATAGCAGTACCATCAAGCCAAATCGCTATAATGGAATAAAAATACACAAATACTCTCACCAAAATGATTAAATCACAAAAAGCAAATAAGGCTAAAGAAACCTTTTGAAAGGGTTAAAACGTAAGCTTGATATGATGATATCCTTGTCTAAACTTTGTCTTGTTTATGTTACAAACCTCTTTTTTCATTACGTAAACTAACGTAATTTTAAGCAAAAAACTGGACAAATTTGAAAATTTATTATGTTTATATATTTCAAACTTAAAGATAAACCAAAGCAATTTAAACATTTATGTGGTCTATCTATCCAGCAATCTGAACTCCTATACAAATGTATAGCTCCATACTTTCACTTTATTGAGTATCCAGATTATAAAAGTGCAGGAATCAGATTCCTTAATAAGAAAACCAAGTTATTTTCAGTTTTAACATCTTGGTGTTATTGGATTTATGGTGGGTGTTGTTAAAAGCACCATGTATTGTGTTTTCACTGGGTGAGTTGCATTTATAGACGCAATATTTTCAGAGATTAATTTAAAGGCTGAAAGCACTTATATTTCCCTGATGATGCCTTCTATTTATAAAGAAACTTTTCATGGTGAAACCGATATTGTTGTGGATGCTACTGAATTTAAATTTCAACAACCAACCAATTATAAACAAAACACTTTTATGTTTTCAAGTTATAAAAACTGTGCAACAGAGAAAATTTTAATTGGAATCTCTCCACAAAGTATAAGAAAAAAAGTTGTCTTTTTAATGTGTGCTAAACGCACAGACTTAACTAATTACCTAAGCACATTAGTAACATAAATTTCTCTATCATGGCATATGCGCAACAAATTTCTTCTGGCGTTTTAAAAACTTTGAGCTTTTTTAGCATTTCTTTTTTTTTTTTTTTTAGGTTGTTTAGGTGCTCCCAGAAGTCCTTACGGTCTTATCACGAAGCACCGCGGAAGAGCATTTAAGAAGTTTACGCCTCCTTCCTTACCAATATCGCTTGTTGAGCTGGAACCGGCGTTGAACGTCGGACCTCCGGGTTCTGAGCCAGAACTCTAACCACTGCGCCACGGCTGCTCGCATTTAAATCCATGCGATGGATTTAGGAGGAGCAGCAAGCTAACCACTTCGGCCACTAAGGTATACTATGCTGAGTAATTTAACATTATTTAGTAAACAAATGTATAACTTTATTAAACGACAAATAAATGCTACAAATTAAAATTAAGGAGGTATTACCGCAATTTTGAGGTAAAAGTAAAACTTGATATTATTTTTAACATAATTTGAAGTTTACATAAGTTAAATATTATGCAAACCGATATAGTATTTTTCTTCATGTTACAAGATACTAGAGAAAAGGGAAAAATCCGTATAACACATTTTTTTTCTCACATCTCCCGCATTTTTGTGTAAAACATTAATATTAGGGTCTATTAAGTACTTATTTTTCGACTTAAAATATACTCTTTTTTTTAATTTTTTGGGGGTAATTTAAATGAACAGAACACATTTGACCTGTTTAAAGCACAATTCCAAGTGAAAACGTTTTTTAAGTTATTTAGATGACGCACGGTGCCTTAGAAACCTTAAAAAATTATTCTCGCTTTCAACAAAACGAGAAATTAAAAAAGCTTTTTTAATTTAAACATACTAAATTCTCTATACTACATTAAACTTTACTTTTTACATAAGTAAAAACTCTTTGCATACATAAATACAAATAAATCTTTTCTTCCATTAATTATATTTTATACGAAAACGCGGGAAATTTGAGAAAAAAAATGTGTTACAGGTATTTTCCCTTTTCTCTATTGTCTTGTAACATGAAGAAAAATAGTATTGTTGTATTGGGTTAAACTAATACATATTCATATAAATTTAACACAATACAACAATCCACAAAAATTTACTATCAAAAAGCGCTTTAACATAATAAAAAAATAATTACCAATAAAACAACAATTAAACGAAGATCACATAGTTGTCATAGAACACTCCATATCTTTCCCACAATAACATCAAAGATGCTATTTAAAATAGGTTTTAACAAGATCTAAATGATTAAAAATCTAAAACCGTTCTTTGTGTGTCTTTTTTGCGTTCTTTGTGCGTCTTTGCGTAGTTTTTTTTTTTAATTATAAATGATTGGATATCATTTATATTAAAAAGCCTTGCACCTACTGCGCTCAGAAAATTTCGTTTTAAAATTTTATACATATAATTTAAAGTTGATCACAAGTACGGCCTAGTGTTTTTCTGCTTAGGGGTCGTCCATAAATTACGTCATGCTATAAGGGGGAGGGGGATTTGTTGGTTTTGTATGTTTACCCCTGGCTCACTGGGCACTGATGTTTGCAAACACAATATATAAAAAAACTATATTAGAAAAAGAGCTAATTATCAACAAGAATGTCCACCCCACTCTGATTCTATTTTCTACAATTTTAATGCAAGAAATATTCAATTCAATTATTATTATTATTTTTTCAATCTATTCGATTTATATTAACATCACTGGCACACTATGACGTCGTCAAACACATTAATAAATGTACTGAAGTATATTAATTATTTTTAACTATTCTTTGCAACGGTTTATATAATTATTTATCGAAACAGCGAATAAACATTTACAAAAAATCAATAAAAAACGGTTTATATAATTATTTATCAAAGGCGAATAAACATTTACAAAAAATCACTAAAAATAAATTCATTTAAAGCGTTTTGATTCCAGCGTTTCTCTACGACAAGACCTCAAGGACTTCTTCGAGTTTCCGCATTCTTTATTCCTAATTTTTATTGTTAACGATATCTTTATGTAAATATTATTTATTTTTATGTTTTATTCAATAAACTACCGATAATGGTTCGACAATTAAAAGTTTACATAAAATCTTTAAACTGATTAAATGAACTTTCTTCATTAAATTCTAATTTCAGATTTACAAAAGAATGCCTCAATGATTTTTGCTACATTTGGGAAATAAACTGTTATTTTCAACTTTTGTTTATTATGAGTAATTATAAATTACACAATTTATCTGTTGCTTCATGTAACTTGGAAAAAATATTGAAGTTTTATAATTAAATTTAAAACTCCGATAAAAAAACGATTTTTTTTACACTTGGGAATTAACTATTTCTGAATTTATTTACTTTATTTCGGAGTAATGTATAGAAAACATACAAAACAATTTGAATGTGCATCATTATTAAACATTTACGCCTTGTTGCACATATTTAGCTTTGATGAGCACTGAATATTCGATGGTAATAGTCATTAGATGGTCATACACCTAATATGCAATGTATAACTTTGCAATAACAATTTAGACCTCAATATTAATAAAATTGCTGAGACGCAAATATACGACTGATTAAATGCAAAAAAAAAAGTTGAGGTAAATCTGATTCCAAATTAGCTAAAATGCGTACACGCTCGCGGAAAGTGTGGAGCTTTCCTTCACACCGGTGTGTAGATGTAACTCCTAGACACAAGTGTGGAGTTATTTGCACACTTTTGTGGAAATTAACTTTTTCTAACTCGACTTCTGCACAGAAGTGTGTAGTTATTTCCACAAAAGTATGCAAAATAACTCCACACTTGTGTCTAGGAGTTACAGCTACACACCGGTGTGGAAGAAAACTCCACATTTTCCGCGATTGTGTAGAAATGTAGTATCGTCAGCCCAAAAGAGCCAAAGTTTGAATAAGAATTAGTTAACTTAATCGCGTAGAAAAACAGTATTATTATTTCAGAAAAGCCATGCCAAAGTTAACGAAGCATTATATGGATGCTAACTTTGCTGAGGTAAGAAAAAAAATGCAAAGCATAGTATAGAAACATAAAAAAGGCATAAAAATGATTTCAAAACGTTATATGATGGTTAAATTGCAGCAAGCGTTCTAAAAGATTAAAAAAAAAAAAAAAAACAGTAAAAAGGAGTCAACAGAAAAGAACTTCATTAAAAGTAAGTACATTTAAATTGGTATCAACAACTGGTGTAAAAAAAATATTGCTCTGTACGAACGGCAATTTCAAAGTCATAAATTCATTAAATTCTAAAATTCTACTAAATAAATAACAATGAAGACTTTAAAAAACAAACGAAAAAAAAAACAAATAATAATTTGTATTAAAACTTATTGTAAATTAATAACATCTATATATAGTTACATTAGGCGATAAAGAGAATTCACACGGACATGTTTGCTTGTTTATTAAAATTGCTTTGATATTGAGCAAATCTCTCTTCTAACAACGGACGAAAATGACGTATCAAACCCTTAAAGAAAAAAAGTTATTTATTCAAAAATAAAGAAATTAAAAGTACAAAAAAAGATAACATGGGGTAAATGTCAAGTTACTTTTTAAAATAGCGTTAACACTGATAAAACAACATTGATGTATTTAATAAAACAAATTTTTTTGCAAGAAGCCATTATAAGCCTTGATGTCTTTAAAACTAAAGATACGAATTTAATTCTAATTAGTTTTGTAAAAATTTAAGAACCTAGCTAATCTTATTTTTTTAGTAGGGTAGATACGGGTAATTTGGGTATCTAGATAATATGAGCATACCAAAAGATTTCTAAGACGTGACTATTGAAGTTCGAATTGCATTGTATTTATTTTGCAGCTCTCTTATAAAAACGCTAATTAATTTTTAGTATTTTGCACATAAAAGAATCTGCGGCGCAAAATTTTGATGTTGAAAAATAGATACTTATTTTTCATAAAGAAAAATATATTAGCTAGAAATCCGCTCCATTTTTGTTTGGATAACAATGCATAGAAGCATTTATTTTTGACTTCATTTAAAGAAGCTCAAATTACCCAGTGTTTTTTTATAGTGTTGTTATCGACTTTGACTAAATCGACTAAAAGTCGAAAGTCAAAATTATCGACTTTGAAAAATCGAATAGTCGATTTAATCGACTATGGACTTTCTACTAATTGACTAAAAGTCGATTTAGTTGAGTAAAATCTTAAAATAGTCATAACTTTTTATTTGATTTACTATTTCAATTTTTAATTTTTGTTTGCTCATTTAAAAACAATGTGTACTTTTATAACTATTATCTAGTTTTTTGATTTTTTTAAAATTTTATCTAAAGGTTATTCATAGCATGTTAGCATTATTTATACCAAATTAAACTTTCGATTATCTATTTCATTATTTTTTTTTCTTTTGTTTATTCGATGCTTGTGATATAAATACTTTCATACAAGACCGCTTTAAGTTGGCTCGGGGCCCTGGTAGAAGGGGGGAGGCCGAGCCAGCTAGGATTAAAAGTTGTGAAGGAACCTCAAAATGTCATCTACACAATCACATTGTAAATACCATTGTAATTACTTTATGATATATAGCAAGTAAATAATAATAATAATAATAATAATAATAATATATATATATATATATATATATATATATATATATATATATATATATATATATATATAGTAAATAAATATATATATATATATATATATATATATATATGTATATATATATATATATATATATATAGTAAATAATATATATATATATATATATATATATATATATATATATATATATATATATATATATATATATATATATATATATATATATATATATATATATATGTATTTATAAGCCGCGGAAGCGGCTTCACTTTTCGGATCAAACTTAGTCATCTAATGTATATAATATATCATTGTAGCAAGTATTTAAGGCGGTCCCTAAATCATTGGGTTCTGGGAACAGATTGTCCCGTGATTGGAGCAGGACAATCTGATCATATTATTTAAACAATATATTAAAAAATAGAAAACGAATATGAATTACTTTATTATTTATATTAAAATTTATTCAAAAAAAAAAAAAAATTATTTCCATACTTTGACTAAACCGACTTTTAGCCGACTTAAAAAAAAACTTAGAAAATATTAGTCGAAAAAACGTTTTTTTTTTTTTTTTTGTTCGTAAAACAAAATAGTATTTTTTCAATAAAAACTGGCTTAAAATTTGAACTTTTTATGAAAAGTTTCGTTAATAACGAACCATTATATTCCACAAATTAGTTCTAATTGTCAGGGCGGTATTTTTTTACATAATGTTAATTTTTTGAGCTAATTTAAAGTGCTCATATTATCAAGTGTCTGGATAAAAAAGTAGCGAAAGTGCACATATAGCACTTTCGCTACTTTTTTAAAATCTGTTTTTTAAAAAAATATGTGGTGTCCAGATATTTTAATTTTGGGCAAATAAATAATTATATGCCCAAAGTGGATCATAAGTAGTGATTCCTAAAATTTATTTATTCGCAAAATTTTTAGATCTAATTCGCATAATTATTTTTAATATTCTTAAAAATTATAATTGCTTAAGGTGCTCATAATACCTTAATCTACCCTAGCTGGTAAAAGTGACATAGACAAATCATGGTAAAAAAAAAAAAAAAACGTTTAAAATTAGGATAAAGTAATAGCAAAATTGGTACAAAACCTTTTCCTAAGATTTGGGTAAAAACTTTCATCAAGGTTTATCAGGTTAGGGTTTCATCAACCCTAATATAAAAACTGTTTTTATCATGGTACAATCTTTTTTCCCTGAGATATGAGTTAAAAACTTTTATAAAATCTATATATACTAAGATTATATAGTAAATAAAAATCATCCGACAACTGAAAAATAAAACCTTGCGTTTATTCAAAAATTATTTACTGAAGGTAAAAAAAATAATACGAAAAAACAATTGTTTATTGTACCAGTTAAAAAATTCTGTCCCGTTTTCTATAACTAAGTTAGGATTAATGCTTAAAATATTTTAAACAAAATTTTATTAAAACTAAGCAAATTGAAATGTATTAGTTAAATACGTATTTTTTCAAGTCACAGATGTTTTTCGAACTTATCGCAAACTTATAAATGTTTTCGAACTTATCGCAAACTTATAAATGTTTTTCGAACTTATCGCAAACTTATAAATGTTTTTCGAACTTATCGCAAACTTATAAATGTTTTCGAACTTATCGCAAACTTATAAATGTTTTCTTTATTGCTTTTATTCTAGATGATTATTTTAGAATTAAAATTACAAATCAAAAAGATACAACTGCATAAGTACAACCAGTGTTAAAAAATAAAACTTCTAAATTCAAACAGCCTCATTTTACCTCAATTATTGTAATTTAATAATAACCAATAACCAATAACAAATATCGTGTTGGTATATTGTATTAAGGCAAGAAATAACTGTTACTATATACTTAAAATTACCTGCACAGGCCAAGCTGCACCATCTCCCAAAGCACAAATAGTATGCCCTTCTATCTGTTTACTAATTTCCTGTAAACATTTTATAACAAAATGAAGCACATTAAAAAAATTAAGTACATTTAAAAGACAACAAAAATAAGAATAGGTATTTCTTCATAACATACCCATAGCATATCGATTTCTGCAGATTTGGCTTTACCATCAACTATATAATAAAAAACCATATATAAATCACAGCTCATAGATAAAACTTCAGCAAACTAGATATGGCACTAATTAGAGTTTCCGAAATAAAGGAAAATTCTAATACCAGTATTAGCATAAAATATCTTAATTACATTTTACAAGTTAATTATTTTAAATTTTTTTTTTTAAATTATAGTAGTATTCAACTCTTTTTTAATTGATATAAATTTTTTTTAAATATTTTTTTCAATTAAAATTAAATATTCAATTTTCCAAAGAATTAATAAAAATATTAATGCAACCCTAACATTTCATAACTCATCAAGCTTTGAAGATAAGTGGAAAAATTACCAGCAACAGAAAATGCTCTTTCGCTTGATTTTGACGTAAGCTGAATTGTTTTTTGAGTGGTACCTATCTTATTTAAATTCAAAGTTTGAACTTCACTTGTTTGCTTAACTATCTTTATTACAGATTGCAATTATATAATTGCACATTGCAGATATTGTTAAAACTTCTTCAGCAATTTTATTATCTGATGAATTGACATCGAAAATATTCAAAAATTCTTATACTTATGCAATATTCTGTTCAATTATATTTTTGGCATGTTGAACTGTTCCTGACTTTGATGGATATTAGAAGCCATTATGATTTTGTGACATTTGAATTTGAGTTGTGTAAATATCTGATTAACAACATTTGTTAAGTAGCTTTTTTAAACAAAAAGATGTGAACATCTTTTTAGCTGTAAAAACATCACCAGAACAGCCAGAACAACAATTTTAACCAAACCCAATTGATGTTGAAAATTGTTTTCCACATAAATTCTTTATGTAAAAATTTATATTTATACATCTTTTAATGGTTATTCTGATTCATTCATCAACTATTATGTTGAATTTTTTACAACATTTTTTCAAAACAGAAATTTTGACAAACAGCTCTAATTTTTTGATATCATAAAACAAGTTTTGTAACTTTTCAGAAAATCACTTTTTTGAACAAAGTTGCATTCTTTATTATATTCTGTTATTTTTTTAATTCCTAGCGAAATATTTGAAGAGCAATTTATTCAAAATTTCTCGTTTACTAATCTGTCTACTTTCACTTGCCTTTTTTTAACTTTATATCAGATGCTTCATCTGTATTGATATTTTAATAACTATATTGAGAATGGTCCTTAATATAGATCAATCACTCAAAAATGGCTCTTAATATAGATCACTCACATGAGAGCTCAAACCTCTGCATGCTATTTTAGAGAATTGTACAAGATATTTTGCTTTGCTAGTCAAACCATATTATTTTGCTTCACTAGCCAAACCATATTATTTTGCTTTGCTAGCCAAACCATATTATTTTGCTTTGCTAACCAAACCATATTATTTTGCTTTGCTAGCTAAACCATATTATTTTACTTTGCTAGTCAAACCGTATTATTTTGCTTTGTTGGCCAAACCGTATTATTTTGCTTTGTTGGCCAAACCATATTATTTTGCTTCACTAGCTATACCTTACTATTCTGTAAAATATTTCGAAACAGCAGAGATTTTAGCATGTTGATTTTTTGGTACTTTGTTTACAGTTTAGATTTTACTGAAATAAAATAAAAATTTGATTTGCTATAATTAAGTATTTTTAATCTTCATTTACCGACCAAATAAAAAATGCTTATTTATATTAAGAGCAATCATATAAATATAATACATAATATAAATAAGATCATTCAGGTCATATTTTAAAAATCTGGAAAATTGTTTGGGTAAAATATTCAGAAAAATCCACAATATATTTTCCCTTTTAATAGCTGAGTTGTTTCCAATTTTTGTTTTTAAACTTTTGTTAACTTTTGTATAAGTGATGAGTGAAAAAGCTTAAAAAACTAAAATATATCACTAAAATTGTATGTATGGAAAAAGCTTAGGATGTCTGCAAAAAATTTAAAGTTGACAAAAATATCCAGAGTTCCAAAAATATCCGGAAAAAGATAATCCCTGAGCAAAAGATTAACTTTTTTCTTCGAATCGCCAGTTTTTTTACATGTGTAATTTTTTTTTAAATGTGTAAAATTAATTTTTATAACAAAAGTCTGAACTAGAGCAATTAATATCAAAAACTGTAAAAAAAAAAAAAGAAAAATATATTTTATTAAATATTATTAGTGGAAAAATTTAGTTTCATAATGGTTTTTAGTACAAAACTGAAGAAACTCTAGACATAACTATTTGCTATTAACTATAATTGACAAAAAGAACTCATGATTTGTATGAATCTCAATCAACATGATTTGCAGAATCAGAATTGATTCTGCAAAATTGTAAATATATTAGTGATTGAGTAATATATCACTAAAATAACACCATTTGACAAAACACAAATGAAATAGACACAAATAAAAATGCATTTAAAATAAATAATAAAAAAGCAAGAAGCATTTAAATAACAATATCATATAAATTATATAAACAATAAATAATTATAGATATTATAATGACTAAAGAATTACTAACAAAAAACTTAAAGTAAAAATTTATTAATTAAATTTATGTAAATCAAAATTTTTGTTTTTGAAAATCAGATGAACTTTTACTTTTCTTTATTCAAAAATCAGAAACTGCAATATAAAAGTTATATAAAATTTTAAAAAAGTTACCAAATCTTTTCATTATGTTATTCATCCAGCCAACACCCTCTCGACATGGTGTACACTGTAAAAAATTAGGCCTTTAATATTAAAAATGATGATGTTAATCTTAATAAAATTAATAAAATCTAAATTCAAAAACTCTTGTTTAGTTTTAATATATACAATTCAAAGATGTTTTAAAATATTAAAGTTTATTCTGTCCAGTTCCCAGTTCCCAGTATGAAAATAGCAAATAAAATAGAATATAAATAAAAAAGTAAAAAAAAAGAAGAGTATAAAAATCAAAATAAAAAATAGCATTATAAATGATTTACATACAAGTACAAAAATAAAAATCCACAATCATTATCATATCATGGTATAATATCAGTCAAATTGCTTCTTAACAACTTTGTTTTAATATTTAAAGTGTGTGCATAAACTTTTAGCAAAAGAAAAAAAAAAGTTTAGAATATAAATATAAAATATATTAATGCTTGATTAAGTACACACAAATTCTCATTGATGATGTTTTATGGTGATATATGTGGTACTGCACACAGACACACAAAGGCTATACAATAGTTTCAGATTGCAACAATAACCATCTAATTTTGATAAAAATTTACTGTTATTTAATTTGCAAAATTAAAAAAATTTTTTTTTTTTTTCAAATTAAATAACAGTAAATTTTTATCAAAATAATTTGCAAAAAAGTATATGTATATAATTATTATTAGAAACAGGTAGGGATGGCAATCCCGGGATCCTGAAATCCTGGGATTTTGTACAAACTATTTATCCCAAAATCTCAGGATTAGTCTCTGTAATTTCCTGGGATTTCGGGATCGTCAAAAAAAAAGAAAAGTTAATAAAGTTTAACCTTATGATTGTATTTAGTAATTTTTATATCGTCTTTGGTATAGTAGCTGTTTGGTTGTAAAACTATTTATTCTCTTTGCAATGTTTTCCTTTTAAAACTCTTTTTTTCTGTATTTTACTAAAAAAAATAATTTCATAAAAATTCTGGCTCTTTCCACCAGCAACTACTTATATTTTTGTTATTTTCTATAATATACTAGTTTTGATATTATAATCTATATAACTTATATTATAATATTAAATAAATTAAATTTAAGTGCTTGCTGGTAAAAAGAACAAGAGTTTTTAATAGAAGGTATACATTAATTAATTTTGAAATTTCTGCTTCCAAAAGTATGAACGATTTTAATTCCATTTTTATATCCATTAATTTTAATTTTCAAATGTGTGATTTATGAAAATACGTGATTTAAGAAAGTTTTACGTCATGCATATTTATATTATTTTTTAATTTTTATTATTATTTATACTGTGTTACCATTTTAAGGTATTGTTTTATAATTTATAATACTTAGGTTTATTAGTTTTTAAAAGTCTTAGATAAGATTTAATACAAGTTAAAACATGATTCAACCTTATTTTAGAAGTTCATTAATGTATTAAATATTTTAGTTATATTATCATTAAATTAATCATTTTTAAGTGTTTGATGAGTGCTTCAAAAATATTCAATTACGTTTGCGTTTTTTTATATTTAATCCCGGAATTTTCCAGGGACAAATTTCTCAATCCCGAAATCGCAGGATTGAAAATTTTCGGGATTTTTGCCATCCTTAGAAACAGGCTCTACACACAAAAAAAAATTATTAGGTGACAAATTTTGATAGAATATTTTGAAAAATATCATCAATTACATGCATTAAAAAAATAATTTACAAACCTGACCACAGCTTTCATGCTTGTAGAATTCGATAAGTCTAGCAATACACCTGACAACATCACTCTAGAATAAAAAATTTTAATTACTTTAACAAGTACTAACTATTATAAATATATTAACTGTTATTATAAATATATTACTTGTTATTATAAATATATTACTTGTTATTATAAATATATTAACTGTTATTATAAATATATTACTTGTTATTATAAATATATTATTTGTTATTATAAATATATTATTTGTTATTATAAATATATTAATTGTTATTATAAATATATTATTTGTTATTATAAATATATTAATTGTTATTAGTGATGTACCGATTAATCGGCATCGGCTAAATCAACCAATTTTTGCACAGTTGGAATCGGTATTGGCTTTTTTTTTATTAATTTACCAATTTTCCAACCAATGGTATTTTAATACTTTTATCCTGCACTTTGAGAAATTGTTTATATTGACTTTGTTTACAGGCAAACTTGTTTATTCTTAAGATGATGTTTATAAGCTTTAATTTAAAAGCTGAATGTATTTATACTTTTACTACCATGTTGATTTTAGAACAATTTTATTTTGTGTTGTTCTATTGTTATACTTAAAAGTTCTATTTATTAAAATTTCTATTGTTTGTTAAAATTTCTATTATTAATTTCTATTAAAAGTTCTATTGTTATACTTAAAAAACCTATTTAAGAACTGATATTTATATGTATTCAAGTATAGCCTTCTATATTTCTATATGATTATTGCTTAGATATCTAAATTACTAATAAATTAATAAAGTTACAGAAATAAAGTAAACTTCTATCTTAACACGATTTTCTTTTTAAAATTGAAATAAAAAGCCTTTTTCTAAAACTGTATTTATTTTTTGAAAGTTTTTTTTCATAGTAAAAAAAACTAAAAAATGTATATTTTTTCAACTGAATTTTTCTAATATTTTTTAAAATAATGGTTTGGCACTGATTTGGGTCCAAGTATTTGTTAACCAGTTCTGATTCCATGAAAAAGTTTACACAATTTAAAGTTATATGGTCTTATATTTTCATAACTTTAATAATTACAAAATTCATCGGTATCAGCTTTTTACCATCAATCAGCATCAGTTTCAGTATACACAACTGTGGTATCGGTAATTCACTACTTGTTATTATAAATATATTGCTTGCTATTATAAATATATTACATGTTATCATAAATACATTACTTGTTATTATAAATATATTACTTATTATTATAAATATATTGTTTTTAATATTGCTTGTAAAGCATTTACTTGATAGAGCAACAGAATATTAATGTTAGCAGGATAATTAGCATTTTAAAGGTATAATCTCTTTATGCTTATTTTATGAAATCAATACCCTAGAACATATCTTACAAATATCACTACTATCAATCCTCTAGAACATATCTTACAAATATCACTACTATCAATCCCCTAGAACATATCTTACAAATATCACTACTATCAATCCCCTAGAACATATCTTACAAATATCACTACTATCAATCCCCTAGAACATATCTTACTAGTATAACTACTATCAATCCCCTAGAACATATCTTACAAATATCACTACTATCAATCCCCTAGAACATATCTTACAAATATCACTACTATCAATCCCCTAGAACATATCTTACAAATATCACTACTATCAATCAGTCTATTATGACCATAAGTTTTGGAATAGAAAAGAAATGAGAAAATGATTAGAAATAAGAAAATGGAAGAATGATTTAATCTCAAATCTCACTTCAATTCAGAATAAGGAAAAGAATGTTGTTAAACTTGACGAAATAAAATATATTTAATTCTAAATGATTTTGTAATAACAAATTTAAAAACTTTTAAATCCTATTCAAGATGTTCAATTTTTTGAAAAATGAAAAAAACTAAATCAACATTATTTTTCTTGACTTTCTTAAAATATTCAAGTCTTTAGCCATTACTTGAGAGAGAGAGAGAGAAATATAATGCATAACCTAACTTTCATAGAGTTAATTGCCTAACAAGAATGCTAAATATATATTTTTTAAATTATTGCTAAATAAAAAGTACTCAATTTGTAATTAAGAAGTTTTGAATGCAACCCCTACCACATTCCTTATAGTACAGCGCTTATGTTGGTTACCCGTGAAACACTCTTGCTTGGGAAGGTTCGTGCTTCAGAGTTAAAGAGTTAGGAGAGGGTTGCAACCACAACTTAAAGAGTTGGAAAAAAAGTCCTAACTGTGGTGGCCCTACTGGACTTAGAGAGGTGAATAACAAAAAAAAAAAAAAAAAAAAAAAAAAAAAAGTGACAAAACAAAATAAAATTTTTAAAAATCAAACCTGCTTATTCATAACAATTATGGCAGCTGTTCCAAGACCAGTTTGAGCTCGAATTAGATCATCAAAATCCATGAGAACATCTTCACAAACTCTAATTAAAAAAATCAACTATTAAACAGAACAATAAAAAGTTAAGTTAACTGCTAAATGTTAACAAATTAATAAAACTGAAATCAATAAATAACTCCTAATCAACAAGTGAATCACTTAAAAAAAAATCGATAAAAAACAAACAAACAGAATTAACAAAAACAACAGCATTTTAACATTAATGAATGGAAGTTAAAAATTCTTCAAAAGTTTAAATTAAAAAGAATAAATTCATTTTTAAAACTTAACTTATTATGTACTTATTTTGCAAATTTTAACATTTCTACACTAATTAAAACTTTTAAATTTTTTGACTAATGTACCAATAAGGTAACAGAGAGAGCTAACAACTACAAATCAACAACTAACAACTGCAAATCAACAATGAAATTTAAACAAACTTTTTCGGTATAAGTGGAGTTGATGAACCACCAGGTATAATACAGAGCAAGTTGTCCCAACCACCTAACAATACAAAAAATTAAAAGAATATCAATGCTAGTAAATAAACTTCAAGTTAAAATTATTTGAATTATTTTTATACAGATTTTTTTTGGTTAAAAAAATATTTAAATGATAGTATTTGAAACTAACAAGGAAATTAAGTAATTAAAAGTATTTAGATATTTAAAAGTATTTGAAAGTCTACAAACAATCATTTTAAGTATTTAGGTATTTGAAAGTCTATAAACAATCATTTTAAGTATCTAAGTATTTGAAAGTCTACAAACAATCATTTTAAAACCATGCACCGAGAACTCCACCAGCATGTCTTTCAATGAGTTCTTTTAATGGAATAGACATTTCCTCTTCAACTGTACAAGGATGGTTTACATGTCCAGATATGTTAAACAGCTGAAAACAAATAATTTTGTAATAAAAAATGATTTATTTAAAAAAACCTTTTTTTTTCTTTCGCAAAAAAATTAAGTAATTTTTTAAAATATTATTTATTAACTTAATTATTAGTCTGATGGTCAGTACAATAGGCATGGTGACAATCAGTACGATAGATATAATGACGCTCTGTACAATAGGTACAGTGAAAATCAATACAATTCAAACAAGGGAAAAAACAATAGCCACTAAACAGTTATTTTTATACTCAAAAAAAAATTAACATAAGTTAAACCATTTTTAATTTTATAAGAATTGTTATTAAAATTTTATCTTAAACAAAGTAATAAACAACCTTTTGTCCTGAATTACGAGGTCTTCCCATACTAGCAAACCAGCTGCCACCACGACGACAAATTTCCTGAATAGATAAATTATTAAACTATAAAACCAATAATAAAATAAAGCAAATCTAAGTCATACATACACTTATAAATCTTTTAAAAAAAGAAAAACTTAATTTAATTTTAAGCAAAGTTAAAAATATTATTTATACAACAAATAGTTAAAATAAATAAGAAAACAAAAAACAAAAACAAAAAATTTTTTTTGTAAAATTTTTTTAAAACTTCATAATGGGCATACTGTTGACTTTTACAACCTCTAACAAATCCTTTTAAATCCAAGGATTTTGTTTTGCTACCTTATTTTATGTAGCCTACCCAGGAAGCGCCTTTGGTTGCAGGCGTTTGTCCATGCTTAAAGTAATTTTTTAAGACAACTTGAGCACGTTTTTATATAGTAAGCGTTTTAAGAATTTGCGGCCAAAAAAAAACTATAAGAAACTAAGAGAATAAAATAGCAATACTTGAAGAAAAGAACCAAAGACTATACGAAATAGAAAATCTAAATAAAATAAGCACTAAATGAAATATTAAAAAAAGGAAATTGTTATCAAAAAAATAATATACCTAAATATTTTACTGTTTTTGTTTTCTTATTTTTAGGGCGTTTGTTATTCTAATTACCAAAATTGATACAAGTCGAGGAAAAAAAGTAGATAAGAATATAATGAAAATAAAATTATTTTTTGATATACTTTTTTTTTTGCAACTTTATTCAGTCAGTATATTTAGGAAAGCTTTCGCTTTCCTGTATATTGATAAAAACAGTAATGTTTAGCAAAAACATTTGAAGAACAAACTTAAAAAAGTTGCCAAAAATTGATAGCAAAATTAATTGCTATTTATTTGGGAAAAAAAAAAAAAATGTAAATGTAAAAAAATAAAACGTTATTAATACTAATATTTAGTATATAAAATATTTGGTTGTTTTCAATACCCCCATTGAAATAGTCTGCAATTTTGTAGGATTATCTAAATTTTGTATTTAAACCCGACAGTTTATTTCCTGATGAACTATTGTTATTGACGATGCTCCAAAAGCTTGTGGGCTATTGCATTATTAATTTACTGAACTTTTTTAACGAAATATTTAGGAGCTTATTTAAAAGTTTTTAAATACATTTTTTTTAAACAGAGCAATTGTTATGTTCATTATCTCTAGTAATTCGTATAAAAATTGGAAATTAGGCAATATAAAAGAAACAATTTCAGACATGCATCAAATGTGGTAAATACATTTATTAAAGAAACCATGTTATTCTTTTATTTAACTTATTCCATCATTGCAAAATTTATTAATCAAATAATATATTTTACAAATAAATAACAATATATTTTCTTATTTTCCTATTAAATAAGTATTAGAAAAAAACGTCAAATATAGCAAAAAGACTTTTAAAAGCAAAATGACTTACAAAACGAATAAACAGAAGAAGAAAAAATTAACAAAAAATTAATAAAAATTACAAAAAGTAAATTGAAAAAAAGAAAAAAGAAATTTTTTTATTTGTTTTTTTTAATTATTAAATTTTCTAGTTTATAAATTAGAAGAATTTTTTAGTAGAGAAGTTTAGCTTTTCGCTGTGAATTATTGAAGCACATTATAAGTTAAAAGATGCGAACTGTCGTGGTCAATTTGCCTAAAAAAATTAGTTTAAATGTTGACAAACAAGGTGTGCAACCGCACGTGCTTTCCAGGAAGGCTTGGTAATTATCTATAAATTTTCCATTGGATTTAAATCTGGTATCTCTGCTGGCCAACCCAACTGACTTCTATTATTTTGGAACCATCTCTTTGAAATAAAAGCTATATACTTTAAACTATTTGCAAAGAACTTTTAATTTATTATTTGTATCACATTATCCCAGAAAAATAGATTAGTCCATTGCTAGACATTCACTTCTTGATGACAAGACGCTACCACTTCTTGATGACAAGACGCTACCACTTCTTGATGGCTTAGAATAGGCATCTTGAAAATGATAGATGAGCTTGCAGTGACTTTTTTAAAAATTATTTTCTTGTTCTTTACCTCTCTTCTTTACTTTCTGTTAACTCCTAACTAAAACGTTGCTTGCTGTCTTGTTTTCTTTTAACTAAAATGTTGCTTGCAGCCTTGCTTTCTGTTAACTCCCAACTAAAATAGTGATTGTATTCAGCTTTGCTTGAAAAGATTTTTTTTTTTAAAAAAAAAAACAAAAGTTATTTCCTAATTAAAAAAATAATTTTTAACAAAATAATACAAAATTATAATAATCAATATAAAACATAAATAAAACATATCAATATAAAAAAATGTAACAAATCTGTTTATTTAAAAAAAAGAAAAAACATGTAAAATCTGTTTATTTAAAAAAAAGAAAAAGTTAAGAAACCAACTAAAAATTTTGCATAGTAATATTATTGTAAATTTTTTAATAATCATTCAAATGCAAACTTTTACTATAAAATGGAGTTAAACAACTTTCAAAGAAAATTACTTAAAAAAATCAGTCCAGAAAGAAAGACAAATAGATGGTTCTGTTTTTTTATTTTCAAAATAAAGTTAAAAAAAAAAAGATGTGACGATGATGATGATGATTGATGATGATGATGATGAGATTGATGATATGTGAAAATATTATTTATATTTGAAATAATAATTACAAATATAAATTTATCTATATTGAAAAATTAAATTTTTATTTATTTGATAAACATATGTAAAATATTTAAAATTAAAACAGAATAATTAAACATACAGGAGCAACAGCAACTGTTTCCACATTCGCAACGGTGGTAGGACAACCAAAAACTCCAATATCAGCTGGAAAAGGTGGCTTCAGACGTGGTTTGCCTTGTTTCCCTTCTAGACTCTCAATAAGTGCCTGCAAAATTGAATAAAAAAAATTAAAACAAAAAAACTTTGAACTATTACCAAAAAATTTTTTTTTAATATTAACTATTACTTGAAGTTTATTATTACTTTAACATCAAGATATCTACAACTTTACAGCTTTAGCATATTTTTCACTACTGAAGTTGAAATATTAACATATTTCTCTCAACAACATATTTTTCACTACTGAAACTGTTCACTGTTGAAACATTAACATATTTCTCTCTATTACAGCTAAAACTTTAACACACTTCTGACATCAATGGATAGGTTTCCATAGTACTGTATTATATATTTTACAGGTTTCCATAATGCCATATTTTTTTTTTTTTTTTTAATTTTAATTCACCTCCTCAAAGCCGAGAAGGCCACTACAGACGAGGAGGCTACTTATTTGTGGCTATAACCCTCTCTCAACTCTAAAACTCCGAAACACAAACCTTGATGAACAAGGCCGCTGCGCGGAGAAACGAGTTGAGCGCGGTACTACCAGGGACGTGATGGGGAGCGAACTTGAAACCACTCATTTATGAAGCGAGCGCTCTACCACTACACCACTACCGCTTAATTAAATATAGGATTATGAAAAAGTTAAAGCAATTTGTTGCAGCCAACACCCTCTAGCATTGACTTGTTTTGAAAATCAGATTTATTGTGATACTACCACTAGGTAGAAGCTCCTCCAACCTTTACCCACAACTAAATTAGCAGCATCAAAATTTTCTTACTAAATTAGTTGCTATCACACAAGCTAATGAGCCAAACTTGGTTAAATATTACATCAGTTTAATGGCATGAAAACATATTAAATAGAAGCTTATAAGACTTATAATTATAGAAAATTTTTTTGGATTATATTTATTTCATTATTTTTATTACATACTTTGCTTAAACTAAAATTTTTTTTACTTCAGATAGAGTTTTACTTGGACCATTTTTTTACACTTACTTTGTACCTTTTTACTGTTGAACATTTTTACTTGAACCATTTTTTTACACTTACATCATACTTTTTTACTCTCTGTTGAATATTTTATTCTAAAAAATAATCTAGGCTTTTATAAATTGACAAGTGTAGAAATTGTGTTGAATTTATGTTGCAAGCACAATATTGTTCTGAAATTTAAAAAAATATATAATAAGATTGTTAAAAACAAAATCAACATTTGTTTCTAATACCTTTTAATTCTTACAAAAAACAAAAATACAATTACAATTGAATAAATTTACAAATTTAACCATTTAATATTTGTTTAGCATTTCATTAATCATTTATGGTAATCACAATCATGTGGTAGTAGGTTAGTGAAGAACACTCAGCTCGAAATTTAGAGATTTGTGGTTCAAATCCACCTTACACATCTGGAAGTACTGTGCTTAACCTGTTTCTCTAGGCAGTGTCCTTGTTCAATAAGATTTGTGTTTCAAAGTTTAAAATTGAGAGAAAGAGTTACAAATAAATTACATGATTAGCGTCCTTGGCTGTAGTAGCCCTTTGGAGCCTCATAATTTAATAAAAAAAAGAAGAAAGAAAACTACTTTTTGTTCTAATAATAATATATATATCCATGCTAAAAGAGAAATAACGCACCCCTTTAAAACCTAAAATATCATAGCTGTTGCTATAAATAAAACCATAGAGTTGAAACCTTTGGATGAGGAGATTATGAAATAATAAATGAGCATTTAAATATGAATATTGCTAATAACAATAATACCATTGTGAATGTAGCTTTTAGAAATTTATATGGACAAAAAAAGAGCTTTAAACAAGTTGAATGATATTGCGTTTGTACTTACAGTTTTTAAGGCATTCCACAATTTTCCCACTCTATTTGTAAAGAAATTAAATCTTACTGGATAATTTGTTACTAGTTCAATATTTAATTTATGCCTTTACTTATGTGTATAAATCCTAGATTATCAATTACTGGAAATGTAAAATTTACCCAATGAATTTTTTCATACCCATGAACAACTTTATACATATCAATTAAGTCGCTGCGCTGTTCTCTTAAATTGGTTAAATTTAAATATTTTAGGACATTCTTTGAATGTTAAATTTTTTTAGCTCTGAAGAGATTCTTGTTAATTTGTGTTGAATTTTTTCCAGCCTTCTTTTTAGATACAAACACCATACTACATTTGCATATTCTAAATGCAGGCTTGGTCGGGAAGCGGGAGCGATCGCTCTCTAATACTGACCACGGAAATTAGATTTAGTTGCAAAAAACTGGCCAGGTTTTTTAGTCGTTTTGAGAACATTTAAGTTTATGTACAAAACAAAAAATTTTTTTTTTACGGACATACATGGAAACATAACAAACTTGAATGTTCTCAAAATATCTTTGTGCGAAAGAATAAAAAGAATACTCGCGAACAGTAATAACCCGCCAAATTAACGAAGAAACTAATTCTATTTGTTCAAAAAATATGCTGACTTAGCATAATAATGTTCTAGAGTATTCTGTTGAAATGTTTTAGGAATTGTAGAACTCACGATTTGTTACGTTTTGAGATTTCTAGTTTTCTTGTTTTAAAAATATACATCATTTGTTTACAAAAATAAATATTTTAAATATATACTAAATTGTTAAAATTTCAAAAGTTTATTATAAATTATAGATTTTATTAGTCTATTCTTATTTTTTATTTAAAAAGTATGTAATCTTTATGTAAATGTAATTTTGTGTATCTGTTTTTTATCGTAATGTATCTTTTAAAGCAATTTATGATTTAAACAAAGACTTACAAAAATAATTGCGTTTTCAATGAAGTTATAATCGTTATAGTTAATAAAACTAACTATGTTACAAACATATAAAAAGTTTCTGGTTACTAAACACAAACAACGCATACAAAGTAGTATCTCGCGGATGAACAAGCACCGCGCCTGAGGTCATGACAGAACACAAATATATATACCAAATAATTAGATATAAAGTAAAGTTTCTATATATTAGTTTACTAACTCTAATTGTTTTCGCTTAAGTTGCCATTCTTGAAACTCGTTATACTTTTTTCTGTTTTAAATACTAATTAAAATTAAAAAGCCCACTCACTAAACATCATCAGCGATATTATGAAGCAGTTTCGCTTCCTCGTTATAAAGTATTTTTAACTTTTTTAGTTGATTTCTATCTTGTTAATTTAAATGTTAATTTCTATAGTAATTCAATGATTTAGTTATTTGATTTGTTTATCTTACTAAGAAGAATTGCTTCAAATATGTTAAACTTTTCAAACTACACGAAACATAAAATAGGTATTGAAAAAATTAACTTTTTTATTTATAAAATAATTTAGCTTAAATAAAACTAAAACTTGCAAACTTTGCTAAATAAAGAGCATTTGTTTCATTTTTAAACAATCGTAAGTTGTTACTTTATATAAAAAACATCGCTTAATTTTATAAAAAAAATTATAAAAGAGCAATGTTTCGAAAATATTTGTTCTAAACGTGATTTATTTAGCTTTAAGTTTTTCGCGTTTAAAGATATTTTACTTGCCTAATTTTTTTTTTTTTTTTCTAATTGTCTCTCATTGGTCCAATTAATCTTTAGCGCATTTTTTTTTTTGCTTTTTAAAATGTTCTCAAAACGATTAAAAAATCTGGCCAGCTTTTCGCAACGAAATATTATTTACGTGGTCAGCAATCGAGAGCGATCGCTCCTGCTTCCCGACCAAGCCTGTAAATGTGGCCATATAGTTTCAATCATTGTGTAACTTTGAATCATTTGTTGATCTATTATGTTTAGAATTTATTAGCAATATTTTGCTAATAAATTCTAAACATAATAAATCAACAAATAAAATAATTTGATTTTAAAAAACTGCATCATTAAGTACATAAGTTTTCTTTTCTTCATTCTCAAAACACAAGTAATTACTGAAATGTTCTACAGTAGATTCTATGAACTTTTTTTTTTAATTTTTTTAACCTATTTTTTTTTCAAAATTATTTTTTTTTTCTATTATTTTCTATTTTATTCTAACTTCTTACGAATGAACCAAATAAAGACTAGTTAAAATAAAGGTCAAAAGAATAAAAACAAAAAAAAGATAAAAATAAATTGCATTCAGGTAAATTTAAAAAATGTAAAAACAATAATTACAGTTTCTTCTCCACAAATATAAGCACCAGCACCTCTGTGCATAAACACATCAAAATCATATCCTGTCCCACATGCATTTTTTCCAATTAAACCTGCTTTGTAAGCTTCTTGGATTGCAACCTAATTAAATAATTGATAAGTTATGATTTAATAATATAAATATAACATTTTAAAAAAATATTTAAAATCTAAATATTAGAAACCTGCATATTTGATGCCTCATTATAAAACTCCCCTCGAATATATATGTATGCAGCTCGAGCTCCCATTGCTCGACCAGCTATTAAACAACCTTCAACTAGTTTATGTGGATCATGACGCATAATCTCTCGATCTTTGCATGTTCCTGGTTCACCCTCATCAGCATTAACAACAAGATATTTAGGTCTGCCATCAGATGGTTTGTTCATAAAACTCCATTTGAGTCCAGATGGAAAACCTTGAAAAAATGAATAAATTCAAAAGCAAGAAAAACAATATATTATAAAATATACATAACAATATTCTATGGTGTACATTATCAGTTTATGGTGTACATTATCAATCTATAGTGTACATTATTAGTCTATTGTGTACATTATTAGTCTATAATGTATATTCTCAGTCCATAATAGACATTTTACTTGATTAATTCAGTTTAACCAAAACAACGCATAGAAATAAAATGAAAATATATAAAACATAGATCACATTAATCTGGTAATATATCTTTTTTTATGATTTTTTTACCACTTTTAACTTTATAGTTCCAAAACATATATATTGTAAACATATATCTTAAAAACATATACTGTTAAAACATATATCTTTAAAGCATATTTCTTGAAAAGGTCATTAAATACTGTATAGCTTTAACTGAAACATGCAAAGTTAAACAATGGGACTACCCTAGGATAAAAACAATGTGACTATCCTTGGATAAAATAATAGAACTACCCTAGGTCAAAAACAATGGAACTTCTCTAGGATAAAAACAATGGGACTACCCAGGATAACAACAATGAGACTACTCTAGGATAAAAACACTGAGGCTACCCTAAATCTCAAGACTTTTTGACCTTTTTTTAAGTTGCATTAAAAAATAAAGGTGAAAACCTTAATATAAAAAAAAATAAATAAAAAGATGTGTTTATGGTAAAAAAAGTCTCTTTTAACAACATTTACACAACCTCAACAAATAAACTACATTTTTATGTTGTCTAAAAGTCAAAGCAATTAAAATAATGCAGAAGTACATAAAGTTTTATTGTTTTTTAAAAAACCACAAAAATAATGACTAGAGAGTTTTTAAACTAATAGTGTTTTTGTTTTTTAAAAACATTTTTTTTAAACATGCAAGGAGTGTTGCTACATCAATTATCTTATAGCCTTCTGCTACAAGGGAATGTTGCTACATCGACTATCTTGTATATATATATAGTATATATATATATATATATATATATATATATATATATATATATATATATATATATATATATATATATATATATATATATATATATATATATATGTATATATATATATATATAGTATATATGTATATATATATATATATATATATATATATATATATATATATATATATATATATATATATATATATATATATATATATATATAGTATATATATATATATATATATATATATATATATATATATATATATATATATATATATATATATATATATATATATATATATATATATATATATATATATATATAGTCTGACTCGCAACAGAGTGCTGCTACATGGACTGAGGGTTTGGTTAGGGCAGGCAGTCTAATATTTAACAAAAATAACAAAATTATTTAAGTTTTAAAACTTTTTCTGGTCTGGTTTATTAGCGCTCTTTTTAAAACTACAGTTTATGGAAGAAACTTTTCGAATAATATATATATATATATATATATATATATATATATATATATATATATATATATATATATATATATATATATATATATATATATATATATATATATATATGTGCACTCATTTACTCCTGCTTCGGCAGGAGTAAATGAGTGCACAAGCTATAAATAGCCTGTCTATACCCGTCTTTGCAAGCTACACTGGCTCTGCCTGCCTAGATAGCCTTGCACAGGCTTTTTTTTACAAAATTAAAATTTTACATCTTGATAAATTTTTTTTTTATTCTGAAAGTTTATTTTGTTGATTCTTCATGCCAAGTATAGCAAAAATTTTAATTGTAATAATAAATTTTTTTTTAGCAATAAAAAGACAGAAAAATAACTTGCTAAAAAAAAAATCTTAACTTTTTTTTTAATAATTTTTTATACTTAATTTTTATTTAATAACTTAATAGTTAATTAAATAATAAATAAAAAACAAAAATCAAAAGTTATATAATCAATTGTTCTAATAAAACAACAATATATAAAAAACTTTTATACATCAAATAGTTGTTTTATAAAAACGAATGATCTTAATTATTTTATTATGTTCATTCAGTTCTCTTCTTCTTTATTATTTTATTATTTTCATTTATTTCGCTTCTTCTTTGTAAATGAAAATGTCATTGTATATAGAAATTTCTACAATTCTACAATTATTAACAAGTAGGAGAGTGACAAATCATTTAAAAAGACTTTGTTAATTAAACTTCAAATATTTGGATACTTGTAAAATTGAGACAATAGTTTTTAAAAGTTACACTGCAGTTTTCATCTTTTGCACTAATAACTCTGAAGTTATTAGTGTGTGCTCTACTTAGTGATATTTTTGTTATGTTTTGGTTTTGGTTTTGTTTCTCGATTTTTAATTAGACCTTTTTTATTCTCTAGTTTTATCAGTTTATCTAGTTTTATCTAAATTTTGTTGCGTTTATAATCAAAGATATAATTAAACCTAAAGCAACTCAAAAAATGGCACATCCTTCACAACCATAACATTTCTTTCTTCAATTGTCTTCTATATTGTCTTATTAAAATAATGGAATAAAATATAACATTTTTTAGAATAATATGGGACTGTTATAGCTGTTTGAAATAACTTGTTCAATTTTTATTTTATTTTTTATACCAGAAAATTCAAAAATTATTTTTTTCATATTTTTTTTACCATATCCTGAATGAAATAGTTTTGTTATTTAACTAGTAAAACAAACAGTTTTAAAAAATCATATCATTTAGGTAGTTTTTAAAAGAATAACTAAATAGAAAAAAAAATATTCAACTTTATTTTTACCAAAAATTTATATTTTGCATGGGCTTTATTTTGCCAGTGTAAATATTTGCACGAGAGTGGAGGCAGATGAAAAAAATTTTTTTTTCGCTCTTTAAAATAAAAAACAACAACATAAAACTGACATTTTATAGTAAAAACTTAAAGACGAACATGCAAGAGTGTATATATATATATATATATATATATATATATACATATACAGGCCTTGCGATGAATAAGAACTGCGCGACGCATAAGCACGACGTGATTTTTGACGCCATTAAATTCTTTTTATTTGCTTTTCATATTTATCGACATTAACTGCACCAATTTACTTAATTACCGCAAAACTACTTTAAATCGCTTATGTAGAAATGTTATTATTTAAAAATGTTTTGGAATGTTTCATTTTTTAAAATGTAAAAACATTTGTTTATTTTCTTGACGTTTGTCACATTTTGTCTATACTAAATGAATAAAAAACATTATAACTTAAATTTAAAAAAGATTATAAAATATGCTAATATTTGATTTTTTTTTTCTTAAATATATAATTTAAAGTTTTTCAAATAATTATTTTTTCTTTTTAAAAAGTCAGCGAGTAATAAAATGGAAATTTTAATATTGTACGATTAAAAACTGTGCAATAGCTAATATTTTTACAAGCGATTTTATATAATATTTATTTTTATTTATTTTTATAAAGCGGTTGATAAGCACAATCACTCGTATTAATAAAAAACTTAAACGAACGTTTTGAATAGATTTTTAATGTTAACAAGGAATTTTATTTCTAGTAAAATAAATAAAATGTTAGAATAAAAATCTTATAGGTATAAAAGAAATATTTCAGCGAAAAAATTATTCTTAAAAATTATTCGAAAAACTATTGACGTTCTATTTTTCAGCAGCTGTTCTTGAGCATGCTTCGTTGAGTTACGGTAACTTTTAACATAAAAGCGATCGTTATTATTTAAGTAATTTTTTTGAGTTACTTTTTACAAAAATTTTAATAACTGTACTTTTTTATTGAATCAAGTAGAAAACGTTTTAATATTAATCCTTTTTTTTTTTTATTTGCCCTCACCAATTTTAAAAATGTTTCCTCGAAATTACTCTTAAATACTTTAAATACGTCTAACAGTTGATAAATATTTTAAATCTATGGAATAATTTTAAAACCTATCAAACCCCCGTAAAATAATTATTTAAGTTTAAAATCTAAAACTAAAAGAAAGTATTTTTGTTCAATTTTATCGACAACGTTGCTATTGCTGAATAATTTTATTAAAATGTTAGCTTAAAAGATTTAAACTTTTTTTTAATTTTTGAATTTTTTCTACTTGTAAATATTTAATTTCATATCATATTTAATTTTTCATATCATATTTAATTTTTTTTAATTCAAACTTTTATTACAACTGCGTGCGGTTTTTAAAATACTTTATTAAATGTTAAAATAATCGTAAATTACTTCATTAAAATTCCGCTCAAAAATATCTTTAAATATACTCAAACAAAAAATTTTTTGCTCGACACAAATAGCCCTAGCTACACGCAAAATCGCTCTTGGACGACGTAAAATTCACATCGCCCAACGCTTTATCGCAAGGCCTGATACATATATATATATATATATATATATATATATATATATATATATATATATATATATATATATATATATATATATATATATATATATATTTTAAACATCTTTGCTTTCAGAAGGCTGCAAGCAACCACTAATTAGTGTTGGAAGTTACTGGAAGAGAAAAGATAAAGATTGTAGAGCAAGATAACGATTGACAGACGACTTAAAAGATTTCAAATTATATGAATCAGGAAAGCAAGATAAAGGAAGTGAATTCCAAAGAACTGATGTTCGAGGAAAAAAACTAGACGAATAAGAGTTTTTGGAGCACTTAGGAACAGTAACAGAAAAAGGATGAGAGTTAATTGAACGACGAGCAAAAGGAGAATGAATTTTAGTAGATGGATAACCATAATAACAATAAAAAATCAAGAGACGCTAGCTCTTTAGATTATAGTATTTGTAGAAAAGAGAAAGAAAAGCAACATTACGACGATGTGACAGAGGTTGAAGGTTAGCTGCAAGAGCAGGTCCAACTATGTTTACAATGCGTTTTTGCATCTTGTCAAAAAGAGAAAGGGCATTATTAGAAGATCCGCCCCAGATATGGCAACAGTATTCCATACAAGGCCGGATTGGAGATTTATAGAGATAGAGAATAGAATCCAGAGTAAGAAAGTGTTGAGCTCAATAAAGAGAAGCAACTTTAGCAGATGCTAATTTTGCAACGGATTTGATATAAGGTTTCCAAAAAAGATCAGAAGTAAGAGTTAATCCTAGAAGATAAAGGGTAGGAGACTCATCGAGTACATTACCGTTCATAAATATAGGAAGGTCTAAATTATTGCGATAACAATTGGCTGAAAAAAATTGAGTTTTATCTAAATTAAAGTTCACCAGCTACTGTGAGCCCCATGCTGTAGCAGAAGTGAGATCCTTTTCAAGCTCAGATGCCCCCTGCAAGCAATCAGAGGGAGTTGGCGAACAATGCCACCTTAGATGTGAGAATATCTGGAAGATTGTTAATGTGAATTAAAAAGAGTATAGGGCCAAGGATTGAACCTTGAGGAACCCCTGAGGTTACAGAATAAGAAGAAGAGGGCTGTCCATCAAGGACAACTTTTATACTACAATTAGAAAGGAAGGATTCAATAATCTTAAAGATGTTTCCAGATACACCGTAAGAAGTAAGCTTATGGAGAAGACCAGCATGCCAAACTTTATCAAACGCTTAAGAAATGTCAAGAGCGATGGCCTTAACCTCTCCACCTTTATCTAATGCGCGATAAAACCTATCCGTTATTACTGATAGCAAATCAGGCGTAGAATGAGAAGATTGAAATCCATATTGATGATCAGAAAGTAGGTTATGAGATTCGAGATGAGAGATTAAGTGTTTGTTAATTAAAGATTTAAAAAACTTGCTTATGACAGGAAGAAGACTAATGGGACAATAGTTAGACAAATCAGATCACTCCAGAATTTCTGAAAATAGGGATAACAGATGCTGCTTTCCAGCAGGCTGGAAAACAAGACTCTGATAAGCACTTGTTGAATAGTTTTGAAAGAATAGACGACAGCTCCGGAGAACACTTCTGCAAGACTATAACGGGTATGTTGTCCGGGCCGCAAGCTGTAGAAGAGTCTAAGCAGGAAATCACTTTAGATACAGAAGCTGGAGTGATACGGATGTTGAGCAATGGATCAACCTGTTTGACGGCTATATCAGGTAGAACACAACTAGTGGAATCAAGAGATTATATTGAAAAGTTCTTAGCAAACAATTCAGCTTTGTCTTTAGGTGAGGTGACAAAGTCTGAACCATACAAAAGAGGTGGAATTACAGGCTTGCCCTTATTATTGATACTATTAAAGATTCTCCATATATATATATATATATATATATATATATATATATATATATATATATATATATATATATATATATATATATATATATATATATATATACACATATATATATATATATCCTTATAGTGTAGTCGAAAGAGTCGTTTAATGTGAAAAAAGTCTCTTTCGACTACAATTTTAATTACCTCGTCTCTTAAGCTGTTTTTGATTGTCATCGAAATGTCAAAGCAATTAATTTATGCGGAAGTACATTAAATTTAATTGTTTTTTAAAAAATTTTTAAAAAACCGCAATTATAACGACTAGAAAGTTTTTTTTAATTAGTGGTGTTTTTATTATTGATTTAATAAAAAACATTTTTAAAACATGCGTAAATGTTGCTACATCGACTATCTTATAGCCTGACTCGCAACGGAGTGCTGCTACATCGACTGACAAATAGCCTGTAGCCTGACTTGCAACGAAGTGCTGCTACATCGACTGACAAATAGCCCGACTCGCAACGGAGTGCTGCTACATCGACTGACAAATAGCCTGACTCGCAAGGGAATGCTGCTACATCAACTGACAAATAGCCTGACTCGCAAGGGAGTGCTGCTACAACGACTGAGGGTTTGGTTTGGTCTAGCAGTCTATCAATTAAAAAAAAAAATTAATTTTTAAAACTTTTTCTGGTCTGGTTTATTAACGCGCTCTTTAAAACTACAGTTTATGGGAAACTTTTTTTGATGCCATGCAAGAGTATATATATATATATATATATATATATATATATATATATATATATATATATATATATATATATATATATATATATATATATATATATATATATATATATATATATATATATATATATATATATATATATATATATATATGTATATATATATATATATATATATATATATATATATATATATATATATATATGTATATATATATATATATATATATATATATATATATATATATATATATATATATATATATATATATATATATATATATATATATATATATATATATATATATAATAAGAATAAAATATTCAGAATGTTTTTATTTTTAAAAAATAAAATAAAAACATACTGAATGTTTTTAAAAACATTCTAGTCTTTTAATTTGTAGTTTTGTAGTTTAACTACTTCTTGCAATTAAATTAATGTGTTTTGACATAATCTAACCTTAATTTTGTCAGCTTTTAAACCACAAACAAGCGAAGAGCCATTTTTTACCACAAACGCGTTTTCTTAGCCATAAAGTATAGCAATATATATATATATATATATATATATATATATATATATATATATATATATATATATATATATATATATATATATATATATATATATAGTCTTGCATGGTAGTCACAAAGTTTTTCCCATAAACTGTTGTTTTAAAGAGCGCTGTTGTTAAAGAGCGCTGTTTTTAAAGAGCAATGTTAAAACTGTTGTTTTAAAGAGTGACAGGCTATTTGTCAGTCGATGTAGCAGCACTCCCTTGCGAGTCAGGCTATTTGTCAGTTGATGTAGCAGCACTCCCTTGTAGCAGCAGGCTATAAGATAGTCGATGTAGCAACACTTACGCATGTTTTAAAAATGTTTTTGAATAAAACAAAAACACCACTAATTAAAAAAAACTTTCTAGTCATTATTATTGCGTTTTTTTTAAAAAACAATAAAATTTAATGTACTTCCACATTAATTTAATTGCATTAACATCTGAACGACAATAAAATGCAGCTTAAGAGACAAGGTAAAAAAATTGTTGTCGAAAGAGACTTTTTTTACCATAAAAGTCTCTTTCGACTGCACTATAAGGATATATATATATATATATATATATATATATATATATATATATATATATATATATATATATATATATATATATATATATATATATGTATATATGCTAATACTTGTAGAGAAAATAATGTACACCATTTTAAACATATTATTCCAATACTAATGATATATTTGTACATGCAGCAAAAGTAATAGTATGAAATTAAATTTTAATTGACTCTATGATTTTTTAAAGGGAGAGAAGGGGTTCATCAAGTTCATTGAAGTTTATTTTAATTAAAAGTATAACTTTATTATTTTTAAATAAATATTTTTGGGGAAATTTAAAGGCAAAAATAATGAATACTTTATAAAGTATAAATATTAACAACTTTAGTTCCTTATAATTTTTAAAAACATACCAGCGCCTCCTCTACCACGAAGACCAGATGTCTTTATTTCATTTAAAATCCAGTCATGACCTTTGAGAATAATTTCTTTGGTTTTGTACCAATCCCCCTTAAATATTAAATAAATATCTCTAAGATACTGACACTGATAAGCTTTATGATTAATAATAAAATAAAAATTAAACAAAAAGAGAGAGAAAGAAAAACATAAAACCAACCCTAGCTTGAGCTCCTTTTAATTTCCAATCATGTCGCCCATACAAGTTTGTAAAAATTCTATCATCATCCTTGAATTATGAATGATGTGTCAAAAAGGATCATAAATCATGTAATAAGCATTTAAATTAATAAATAAAAATATGAATTTAAAAAAGAATTAAATAAAACTCAGGACGTGTTTAAATTGAAAAGATAAAATAGTAACAGGCAATAAGTAATTATCAAAAATGAGTTTAAAATATTTATACAGCTCAATAAAAAACAAAAACAATATCATTTTAAAAAGGTTTTGAAGCATATTTAATGCTTACTATATTTTTTTTACTAAATTGTCTTTTATAGTTTCTTTTTGACGTACACAATCTAATTGAGACTTCACCCCTCTAACAAGCTCTTGTAAGCATTCCATATCAAATTCAGTTAAACATTTTTTTATTCTCCTTCGAGAATCGAGTTGATCTGAAGCATGCCAGTTATTGTTGTACACTTTCCTTTTCAATTAAGAACAGAAGTCTTTAATAGGTCTTTCTTTGTGATAAACCACTTTTATTGTTTGTTGATTGTCTTAATCAATTTAAACCTTGTTTATCAAAACTAACAGCTTGTTTGCATGCTCTTGGTTGTTAATTTGCATCAATTTCATTTTTATAACACTTGATTAGATCATAAATGGTTGATTTACTTGCTCCTTCAGCTACAAAATGATCAACTGTGTACTTCTTTCCTTTATTTATATTATTTTCTTAAAATTCGTACACACGTTTCATAAGAGCTTTTTTTCAGGCATGGTTTATAATTAAAAATTTTAAAATAATTTAGAAATATGAATATCATTTTTGTAGTGTGTTAAATCTAGTTTACCAATAAAATCACATGCATTCATCCATGTGCAAGAAGTGACCTAACTATTTCAAAGCGAAAAAGTCATTCTGAATAACTACTTATCACTCATTAAGTAAAATAAAAATTCAAAATTATTCTTAGATTAATATGTTAGAGAATAACTGATATATTACAGATGGATTGATTTAATGAATATAATATATAGTAAAATTTAAAAACAGTCAGAAATACTTACAGACAATGGACCAAACTTGGTTTTCTATAAGTAGTTTAAAAATTACAAGTTAAATTTATTATTTAATTTTTTTACTAATATATGTTTAAATATCTTTTTTTTTTTGAAATATAACCAGGAGTGGAACCTCATGGTTGTATGACAGCACTGAAAGACTGGTTTTCTCAAAGGGAGACTTTTGAAAAAAAATGCTTGTTGGTAACCCAACAATATAACCAGACAGTTTGTTACTTACTAAAGAGTGTTTATTAACATAACAATATTTTGAACTATAAAGATTTTATTCTTTATGACTATTTAAAAGAAACCTTTAAAATAAATTCATTTACATACATTCACTACAAGTACAAAGTACACTACGTTTAGGTAAATTATAAACCACATTTAAAAGTAAATACACTATGATGCATTATAAAATTTTACTAAAAGTAATAAAAAGAAATCGAATTTAATTAAATTAGACAAGAATGCAATTTAAAATTTTTCAAAGTGCGACTATACTATTTTTTGTTTTTGACTATACTAGTTGTTGTGTTTTGAATATATCAAATAGTTAAAAAATAAACTTAAACGTTACAGTCACATTTTGAATAACATTTTTTTTCTTATTTCAGAATGAGTTTCACAATTGCATTTTTTTCACAATTTAAAATGCAAATGTATAATTTTTTAAAACGTATTAGTCGCATTTTGAATCATGTGAATCATTAATAATGTTAATTTGTTACATTAATAATGTAGTTTTTCATTATCAATTTTTATTTAAACTTTGTCAAACAAAATTAACGGCATAAAAACATTATTTACCATGCACACAGAAATTTTATTCTAAGAAAAATATCTTAGTAATTAAATTACTTTTAAAATGTTTCAAACATTCAACTAATTTAAGTAACAATAAGATAATTAATAATGGAAGACAACTTCCATTAAAATATTTAATGCTGATCTTTAAAAATTGTAATTAAAGTTGTGATATCTCTTTGCAACTAAATGTAATAAAAATTACTGAATACCATTTTTAAACAGCTTTTAACATTTAATTTTAACATTTTGTAACACATTTTAACATTTGATTTTACTATTTCCTAATCCTTAATTTGACTTTTATTTTTATTAATAATTTTTTTTTTTTATTAATATTTAAGCTAATTAGTAGTATTTTAGTAATATTTTTAATTCTTTTTCTTCAGTTTTTTCACCCGAGAAAAAATACCCAAAAAAATAAAAAATACCAAACTACTGATTATTACAGCAATAACTCGAATAAGACATATATGATATTTCCTTGAAAAAACCCAAGGTTCCATCCCTGATTACCAGACTACTTCCATCCCTGATAATATTCAAACACTCAATAAAGTAATGAACAAAAATAAAAACAAAGTCTTCTCAAATAAAAGTTTCTTTTTCAAGATTGATATCTTTATACAAACATTTAACTACAAACAATTCTACCTTTCCCTTTCAAGTATTTTGCTAGAAAGAGTAAAAAAAATTTATTCTCATTACAAACCTGCTTTGGTGCTTCTGTTGATTGCAACCTATTATGAGTAAAACAGACTCTTCCAAAATTCCCTGTTAATAAAATTAACAAAAACTAATATAATGTTATTTCTGTCCCTAATATTGAATTTATACACACACAAACACACACACACACATATATATATATGATTTAGTATGGTGTTATAAAATAATACAATAATACAAAACTTGCGTTCATAGAAGAGTGCTCAATATTATTGAAACTTGTTATTGTTATATATAGAAATGAAAGTTTCCGGAAATTTTCAAAAAATAATAAAAAAAAATTGATTTGACTATTATACTTCATCCAAAAATACATAAAAATGAAAAATCACAAATAAAGTTTTGAGAAAATTTGATTAAAATTTCAGAAAAAAAAACAAAAAAAACTATTTTAATTTACTAGATGATAAAGTTATTTTAATTTACTAGATAGTAAACAAAATTGCAAAGAATTATACATGCCATAAGTGGTTACTACTACTGTTTATTCAAGAGGCAGCTGCTTCACACAAATCAAAACTGAGGGTGAGGGGGGGGGGGGGGGGAAGAGGGAATTGTAAATTTTACTCAAAATTAAGGGGGGGGGGGGGAGGCATGTTTTTACAGATAAAAGGAATAGCTGTATTTAGAAAAAGTGATAGCTCTATTATAGGATAAAGATAAAGTTTAATGAAGTAGTTTGATGAATTTTCAGATAATGACACTTAAAACATTAATATTAACCATTGCCAAATTTTTCATCATTGCATATATATATTTTTAAATGTCTATTTCAGACTTGGTCAAATTTGCGAGGCATATTTTAATTGATACTAAAAACATTCATAATTTAAAAAGAAAGTACAATTTAAAAGATACAATTAGTCAATTTAGTTTACATAGAATCATTCTATGTAAACTTTTTAAACAACTCTGTAAAATTCTAAGAAAACCTAACCTATAGTTTATATGCTTATTAATTACAATTACTATATAATTGTACATATAAATTATAATACTTATAAATGAACACACGCACGCACATACACACACATAAGTGTGTGTGTGTGTTATGTCATAACAACGACATCTTTAATTTATACAATAATTATATAAATTATTAGTGTCGTTGTTATTTTTACCCTTATTATCATGATAATAACCTATTAATAATTATTATTAAACAAGGAAAACAAAATATAAATGATATCATTATAACTATAGTTATAATAGTATCATTTACGTTTAGTACTAAACAAAAATGATTTAATTATATGTTTTGTTAAGAACCACTTATATTTAACTTATATTCACTTAAACAATAGTATTACTATTGTATAAGTGAATATTTGGTATTTAAAATCTTTATTTCAAAAATTTATTGATTTTATATTGATAATATATTCCTTATTAAAAAAAGTAAAGTAAACAACACAAAACTATAAAGATTCAAAAAAAAAATTCTGCGCAATTATTTGAAAATTTCCAAAATTTCCGGAAATTTTCATCATTAGTTATATATAACTTTAAAAAGCAATTTAAAGTAAAAATAAATAAAAAACTTATATTATGAAGCTTCTCATACCATCAGATGATTGACCTGATGTCTAATGATTGAAGCACAGCCTACTATATTACACGGTTGTGTATGCTACATTTTAGAGGCTGATTCTAAGGCCTATTTACGCAAACCAAAAATGACAGCACAGTATGAAAAAAACTTTACATTTATATATATATATATATATATATATATATATATATATATATATATATATATATATATATATATATATATATATATATATATTAATTTCATTTTACCAGTTGTGAAAATTGCAAACAGTAACAGTTTTATAATTGTTTTCAAACGTTATAATGTTTATTAAGTGAATTTTTTTTTACGAAAATAACAACATATTTTTTACCTGATGATTACAAAACGCAAGAAACTTTTAGTAGTAAAAATGGTGTAGTTATTTTTATTTAGTCTCCTCTAAAAAAATTTTAACATTTTAAAACATTTATCTAATTTTAAAACTTTTAAAAGGTCTTCGTAGACATCAATTATAACTTTATCAGTAAATTTAAACCACCATTCCTTTTGTGAGTTGCAGGTTAAACAAACTGTTGGAAAGTATTTTAATAAAACAAAACTTGGTACATCTTTGACATTAGCATCTTGTTTAGTTATTAAATTTGAAAGATTATCTATAACTGTAAAACATCCACATGCAAAATCCTTAAGTGAAAATGAAACCACAGTTACGCCACCTCGTAAAAATATTTGTAGACATGGATAATTATTTATATTGCTTGCATCTGTAGCAAGCATAGACTTGCAATCAATGCATTTGCTTCTTTATATCAAATTTTTTACTATATAACCAGTATTTGTTGTTGCAACTACTTCTGTTTCAGGTGAAAGAGTTAATTCAGTTATCTCATAAATCTAAAGTTATTAGTATTTCCTTATAAATTGGGTTATTATATCTTTTCTTTAAATCTTAACTTGCCATTATGATATTTAGTTGACGATGGATGAAAAGGAACACTATTTTCTTTACATTGCAAAGCTACACGTAAATATTATTTAAAAAAAAAAAACATATATATAAAAACATAAAAGAACACAAATTTAAACCTTTGATTTTTTTGAAAATTTTGAAAATGTATAAACACTCAAATCGTTAGTATGATAGCACAAAATGCAAGTTTTCTGTGAATACATTTTTATTTGTAATATTATATTTATATTATCTTTTTAGTCTAGATGAGATATTAGATTTCTCTAGCTGCAAAGCCATCTTTTTTTTATAAATAGACCTCTTAGATTCAGTCTCAAAAATGTAACATACACAGCTGTATACGTTACATTTTAGAGATGTGTATTACATTATGATTCATTAAGTTCCATAATATAAATTTTTTATTTTTTTTTAGTTAAAAAAATAAGAGTTTTAAAAATTGTTTGACAATTAATCCAATTGTAATTTGGAAAAACCATATACTTATATTTCATAAAATCATTTAAATTTGATAAAGCATTGAAAATAGTTTAATAGTTAACAATATGCTTTGTTAATGAATATTGTAAAACTATAATATTCAACTTTTTTATTTTTATTAGACTAATTTCACACTACCGGTGGTGAAAATCCTTTTTTCTTAAATGAATTTTGTAATTTAAAATTTATTTTGATAAAAATATTGAATGCATTATTTTAATAATAATATAGCAATATATTTAATAATTGTTGTATGTAACTAAGAACAGTTTTTCTTTCAACTGTACTTACTCTTCTTATTTTTTTTTCTTTCTTTAAATCTTTTTATTTTCTTGTAAGTTTTTGCTGCAAACTGCAATGAATGAATGGACAATTTATAAAGAAATTTATAATTACTAAATGCGCATTTGCTCATTTGGCTACAGGAAATGATATTAATGATTCTGTAGCCAGAATGCCATAATAAAGTAAATCAAAATAGAGTGCTTAATGTTCTTAAAAAAACAGAGCAATAGTAGTAGTAGAAAATCACTAAGCAAAATTTTTTTTCATTTAACACTGTGTTTCATCAATAAAGACTCATCAGAAATAAATAATCAAATTAATAAAACTTCAATTTATACCAAAGAATTAAATTATAAAATGTTAAAAACCATGGTCAAATTGTCAAAAAAAAAAATTTTTACGGTCATAAAAAGGCTTGTTTTTGAATGCCTTGCTGACCAAGTTTGGTGTTATAACAAGTTTACAAGGAATTTAAATGACTTTTTTAATCTTTTTTTTTTCTAAATTATAAGGAAATTTTTGATAACAAGGGTTATCTAAACTCCCTCAAAATATTAATTTTAACAATTATTATTAGAGTTTTTATTATTATCCATAAATAAAGTTTTTTATTTAATTTAAAAAAATAAACTCTTTATAAAATGTCATTTAAAGTTTGTAATAATTTTTTTTTTTTTTTTTTTTTTTAACATATAACAAAACAAACATACTATAACATTATAACATAACATATAGCATATAAGTTATATGCTATATGTTATGTGATAACAATGTTATATTATAACAAAACAAACAAAACAAAAAAAATAAAAATATCAAAAGTGGCACTAATATAAAACAAAATTTAACATGTACTTTTTTTAGCAAATATATATATTTTTTTGTTTTGTATTTTTAAATATTCGGTAATTATTTTTGCTATTGTTTGTTATAAGAAATTGTCTTAATAAATATTCTTGCACTTGCAAAATGATAAAGAAATGTTTTTTTTTTTTTTCATGATTTTAACGCGTCATATAACATCTTTTTTTTTCTTTTTTTGAACATTTTTGATAGAAAAGTTAGGTTAATAAAAATAAAATTTTCTTTGTTTTTTCTTAACTGATGTTGCTTACAAAATACCTTGGACTGGATGTAATATCAGTTATGTTAGAGAAACATCTAGACATTTAACAACAAGGATTAATGAATATCTAACAAGTGACAAACAATCTAATTTTTTTAAGGATTTAAATTTATCCATTAATTGTAAAAATAAACATATTGGGTGAGTTTTGCTGAGAAATTTTAAAAATACTAGCTTATGAAACTCATTAGACTTAAAATTTTTTAAATTATTTTTGGTAGTGAAGAGAAAATAACACAAACTATCCATTTTAAAATAATGAAATAAAATTAAAATTATTAGAAACAATTTTTTTTTAAGTAAATATGTTTGCCTGCAAATAAAAACATAAAACCTGCAAGTAAAAATATGAAAATCATATATTACACAACCATATATTATATATTATAAATCATATATTATAATACCATAAAATCATATATTATAATAACCATATATTATATATTATAAATCATATATTATAAATCATATATTACACAACACAAACATGACTTACATGCATTAGAACTCCTAGAAACGATGCGAAGAGCCATATAATCTTGTTTAATTAAGTAAAAAAAAAGCTATAAAAATCTAACCAAAAGATAATGATTGTTTTTTAAAATAAATATGTGAAAGTCTATAAGAACTAATTTACTAAATTTCACTAAAAATATTGATCCGAAACAACAGCCGGTTAAAAGTTTTTTCGCATAACGAGAAACTTAAAAAACTTATTCGTTAAAATCGTTAAAAACTTAAAATATGTATGTTACAAAACTTAATATTATGATTATTATTATAAACTTTTATAACAAATTTTTTAAATTCTCTAGTGTCAAATTCAGAAATCCGTTTCACCTTATCAGGTAATTTTTTAGACCAAAGAACATGTATCAAAAGAGTGCATTTATGTACAGTAATACAGTATTAAGTATATATATGTACTGTATTATAAAATAACTGTATAATACACAACACATATTTTTATTCAATATTGTACTTCATATATTTCTTCAATATTTAATGTTGTATACCGTATTTTACAATAGCAAATGAGCAGGCTCATCTTTGGGTCATCCTACCCCCCCCCTCCTTCCACTACCCCAGTGAATTAACGATGTGGCTTTTTTCTCCTCCCCTGCCCCCCATCCCTCCTTAATCATTGAAAAAGAAAAAAGAAAAAGAAAATTTTGTACTTGTACAAAAAGTTTTTATATGTTCTAATAAATATTACTGCATTAGACCAAAAAAAAACAATTAGTAAATGTGATAATTATAATAAATAATCGAGAAAACATTGGACCTTTTTATTTGACATATATTTAAAACACTTCAGTAAGTTAAAAAAAATTATTGACATTTCTAAAGAATATATAGTTTTCATCTAAGTAGCATTATTAGATAGTTATGTTGAGAAATTATTTTGATGTTTTTTGGAGACTTAATCAAATGGATTTTTAAACCGGAAAAAATAAGCGCACCTTCCACGTTGGTTTCATTTAGAAGAACATTTAAAGATCAAAGAACGGCATAAGCAGAATGAAGTTTCTATTTATTATTAGACCTTTAGCATTTTTTCACCCTTGAAAATGGCCTTTCTTTGGTATAATTTTTAACAGCAGCAAAGAATGTGGATTCTTTGGTCGAATAACTAGAAGAAAATCCATTTGATTTAGTTTTCTGGATAAAATGGTTCCAATTTCTGTTGGGAACCAAGTAAAAACAAATATCTTGAAAAACAATTTCCTGCATAGTTTGGAAAACAGATGTCTGCATTTGGGTAGGTTTATAAAACTGGGCGTGCAATGTGATTGCAATAAAATCCATATCTGAAACACAGACAAAGAACCTGAAACCTTAAATAAGTGAAAAGCATAACTTAAAAAAACAACTTACTTTAAATTGGCTTTTTTTTTTAACCAAGTTTTTTATTTTCATTTTTTGAAACCATCTCTTCACCTTTTCTATAAGTTAAGGCAACCTTTTCAGTGAGAACTTCGTCACATTCAGTTTGCACTCTTTTCTTCCTTTTCTTTTATCGCTTATATATAAGCAATAAAAAACACTCTAAAAATACCTGTCATTCTCGGAAAAAAAAAACTTGATTTGTGGCCAAAATTTAAAAAAAAAATAAAAAAAAATATGTAATTTTTGGTATTATTATCATTTTTAAGCACAACATTATCCAATCTATTTAAAAATATATTTAGGTTTCATTTTTTTTTTTTTTTTTTGAAAAAAGTCAATAAACGTATCCAAGAGCGATTAAAAATCGATGAATAATTTCTTGCAATAATACAACATTTTTTCATTTGTGTATAAATTTAAAGCTATATGCACATATGTATACATTTTTTTTAAACAAATTTTATAGTTATAAAGTTTAATTTGAAATAATAATAATTTTTTATTATCGTATATTTGCATAAGTTATGTTTTCTTCAATTTTAACGTCTTCCTTAAAACAAAGTCCGCATGCACAGACTTGATCAATATAATTTTATTAAATCATATATTATTCAAAAAAAAATCAGCTGCAAATACAATTATTTAAACCAACTTTAAAGCTCCCAAAAAATTTTTTTCACCTTTTTTATGTTATCAAAAATCAAAGTCTTTATTTTTGTTTTATTTCTATAAATACATGTTCAAAAATATTTTTTCTTTACACAATCATAATTTAGCTACCTAAATTGTTAAAAATAAAATAAAAATACTCATTTTTATTTTATTTTTATAAAATGTTCCATATATTTAACTAGATGAAAATACTTAAAAAAAAATACATATTTTAGTAAATTTAAAATCCATGTAAAACGCCAAGTCCGCAATTAAAACATATTTGTAGTATATTTTGAACATTTACTATTGCTTAATAATTCCTTGAGAAATTAGCTTTTGATACAGGTGGTTGCACCCCAAAAGCCACGCGAAAGTAGGAGGGTCTAGATTTATTTTCTATGGACAGATCATAATTTTGTTAATATGGGTTCTGAAAGATAAGCCTAAATAGGGTTCTTCCTGTTAGGTATGGTTTTTTAAGTCTCGCTTGAGTTCTTTTTCTAGAATGTTGAAGTTAACCACACTTTTTTTCATGCACCCCAAAAATAACATTGACAAAATTGGCTATAAAATCTAAACTATTTGGAATTAAGACCTGATTTTTTGTAGAAGATAGTTATAATAAATTAGTCTTAGGATGATTGTATCATTGCTAACTTAAATTTTTAGGATGTACTTAAATGTACCACAAAAACCACATCATGTGCACCCCAAAAACCACGTTGGTTATTTGAATATTTTAGAAAATATATAAAATAATTCAATAAAAAAATTTTAGGATGTACTCTAAGATAGTAGCTCTTTGTCATCATAAAAAAAAAAAAAAAAAAAAGTTAATGTATTGTGGAAATACTACCATTGAACTATGTTATGTTTTTTGTTGTTTTAGAATTTTGTTTAATATAATATTATAAAGTAAAATGAAACCATCATCTGCATTACATCTACGTATAAACAAATCAAGAAATCTCAGTACTAAAGCTGATGCCATAGTGGCCAGAAAACACACAAATGATAAAAATAAACAGTTAGAAGCTGCAATAAATTGGTGCAAAAAATTTAATGGAAGGGGACAAGCAGCATTAAAGACAGGTTTGTTTCCCCTTATTAAAGATAGAGAGACAATCAACAGGCGATTAGATGGAAAAGTGATTAATGGAAAAGAAAGAGATTATTGTACTATACTTACAGATGATGAAGAAGCATCTATTGTGCGTTTTATAAAAAATAAGAACAGATGTTTACAGGCAATTAACAAACAGGACATAACCAAATTAATTATTAATGTGCTTCGTGTGAGAGATTACACTAATACAAAAATGAAAGGTGGACGGAAGTTTCAAAAGTTATCATTAAATGCTCGAGCTGCTCTAGAAAAGGGAAAGTAAGTTTAATTGAATTCATTTAATCTACAATGATCCTATAAAAGTATGTAAGACGGGTAATATGACTCTTTTCTTTATGTAAATATTCCATTTTATAGATTGAGTCGATCATTTTGGCTTCGTTTTAATGCTAAACATAGCAGCCTTACAATCAAACGCCAAGGGAGTGTCTCGATAAACCGTGCACTTAATTGTTCAAGAGAAATGGCATGTAATCATTTAGGTAAGTTATTAATGAACAAATATAAATTCATAAATCTGAATGTACTTTTTTTTTTAATTTGTTCATTTCCCTATAATAACATTATTTCAGATTCCCTTGCTAAAGAACTAGTAGATGTTGGTATTATGATAAATGAAAAAATGATTGAAACAGGGGTTTGGAATGACACTGTTGATACATGCCGAATATTTAATTGTGATGAAACACCCCAGTTTATTAATTATGGAATTGATGGTACCACTTCTAGATTATTTTATGCTGGCAAAGGAGATGCATGTCAAAGAATGTATAGAGAAAACAGAGAATGTGTCACAATTCAACCATTTGTTTCATTTTCAGGTATGCTATAATATGTTATGGTTCAAGAAAAAATTGAATATAAATAAATACAAGCATTAAAAAACTTTTTTATTTTTTATTTTTAGGCGACATATGTATGTGTCAGGTAATATTTAAATGTACTGGTATTACTAGTTCTATGGTTCCAACAGAAGCAGTAAACAAAATTCCCCATTTGTTGGTCACAACTACAGATAATGGAGTATCAACCCATGAATCTTTCTTGGCAGCATTGAAAGAGTTTGATGTCTACTTAAATGAAAAAAATGTTAAGCGACCCATCGTCTTATTATCAGATGGACATAGCTCTAGACTAGACTTTGATGTATTATCTTTTTTGGAGTCCAAAAGAATTCATCTTTTTCTTACTCCACCAGACACAACAGGAGTTACTCAACTTCTTGACCAAGTAAACAAGAACATTCATAGTGAGTATCGGAAGCAAAAAAACTCTATGTTTTCTGATATCTGTTCCTTAAACAAAGAAGCTTTTATGTTAGTTTTAGCTAATATATGGGACAAGTGGACAACCAAAGAAACGCTTGTAAAATCTGCTAAAAGGGTTGGTGTTGCCGAAAATGCATTGAGTGTCGATTTTATGCAAAAAGACAAATTCGAACGAGCAGAAAACTGTATTGAACCAGAAAAACAGACTTCTCCACTAATTTCTTCGCCGGATAAAAGACGTGGTTTAGCAAATTATTGGAAATCAAAATTTGAACAAGCGATGGAGTTGATTGATGAACTTCATGAAAAGAGCATTCAGCTGGAAGAAATACCTGGTTTTATGACAACCAAAAAGATAAAGCCAAAATTAACAAAAGATGCAACACGTGTTACCCAAGTACATGGATCAATGACTGCAAGCGATGTAATAACTCTAGTTGAAAGCATAAAAAGAAAAAAAGAAAAAGAAAAGGAAAAAAAAGAAAATGCTGCAAAAAAGAAAGAGGAAGTTACAAGACTCTTTATAACATGTAAGCTTCAATGCTATTGCGAGGAGATAAAATGTAAAGCTTTTGGCTTAAAGCAGTGTCCAACCTGCCTCAATATAATGCGGTCCATTTGCAGCAAAGCAAATTGCAAAGTAAATGGAAAAAACCCAGAAATGATTTTATCTGCAGCTGCTAGAAAGAAATAACTGTGATATTCAAAATCTTTTTTATTGAATGAACTATTTGTTTTAAATTTGTTG